GTTTGAATAATGTATCATCTCTGACATTAGGAGCTAAGCAATTAGAAATAAAGCAGAAGAATTACAGAGCCTAAAGTCACTTAAACTAGGGTGTAAGGTAAAATAAGTTGATTGGGCTTTTTATGTCTTTGGCCTCTGTGGTTATCACCTGCGGCCTTGATCTCCCTAACATAGAAGGCTCATGGGTGTGGTGCACTTGTGCCTGATTATGGACACCTGAGCATGGGTATGTGCGCATGTACAAATGTGTACACCTGTGCCTAGGAGGGAGGGGCTATAAGGATGACTACCCTACCTGGTGAATAGGTGTGTGACCACAGAGAGGCGATACACGAGAAAACTCCAGCAAGAGCCCAGAGAAAAAGCTTAAAGATTCATGGGGGTCTGGGGGGCTACCTAGCTTGCCTGCCTGCCTCCCAGCACCCCCTATCAGGCCCATGCCTGCCTCCTTACATGGCCAGCCTGCCTGGTGTGCCTGTGTACCTGGTTCCCTGAGAGAACATGAAAGCCTGTACAATCCACTGAGGGCTCCAGGACTATCCTTTATCCTTCTGCCTGAATCCATAGTGAAAATGCCCCGTGCCTGCTTGCACAACAAGGGATAGAAACAGAAGCATTCTGCTTTCAACACTAAAAGTTTTTTTCCAGGTAAGAAAACAACTGCTATAACACTATTTCCTTTAGAATAAGGTTCTACTTAAAATCAGCTTGAAAATGCACACACACTTGGCCTAGGGGACTAAAGTAAAAAATTAAGTAGTGCTATTTTACTTTATTATATTAATGCAGTAATGAATTTATAATACATCTCATAATATTAAAATTCAGAAAATTGTTCTTAATTAAAAGGGAAATCAATAGACAGACTAATAAATGAGCTTTGATATATTTTCGTGCAAGCAGTTTTTGTCATTTGTTTATCAAAAGAGCACTATAAGATGGAAAAGCAGGTATTATTACCTAATTACTTTATATGGGAAATTAAGATTGAGAGAGCTCTCAGTACTTCTAAAACTTGCCCAATCCTGTACCCCTCACAGAAGACAAGCAAAAACATCTGCAGCCTAGAATTTTAAAGATTTATGTATTTATGCATACAAGAGCTGGGGTACAGGCCAGAGATGCGTGGGTGAGAGGACTCACCAAAGACAGAGTGGGGAGCAAAACAGGCAGACTGACCAAAATACACTGCTGAGGGGAGCAGTGGGCGAGACAGGAGAGATCTGCTGCACCATGTGTGTAGCTCCCTGGCCGGCCGGGGATGGAACTCGTGCTGCAGAGGCTGCGGATAGCTTCATAGCGCCATGCTTAACCCCTTGCGCCACCAGGGAGGCCCTAGAATTTTGAGTGTACTATCCAGGCTGCCTCACTGAAAAACCAAATTGTCTGGTTCTGCTTATCCCTGCATCATACACTTATCTGAACAACCAGGAGCTGTTCACAGGTTTGATTATGTTGATAAAAGTTTGGGATAGAAGGCACCCAATTTAAAATCCTGACATTTGGATAGATATTTTGAAAGGCAAATTTAAATTTTCTACCCCACTGTGTAAAATTAGGATTCATGTGTAGATAATACTTTGGTAACACAGGTTCAGGGCAATCTACCTAAGAATTTCCTGCAAAGTATTTCTGTTGGAATAGATTCACTCCATTAAAGCACTTTTACTGGGACAATTGTGTTAGATGTACTGCTGAATAGCGCTAGATAGGCCATTTTATTAATTAAAGTATTTTAATATTGGGATTTCATATCTATTTTAAAAGTTTTTATACTTAATCTAGAATTTCTAGGTGTTCATAGTGAGAGATTCCATAGCTATATTCTAGAATAAAATGAAAAATAAAAAGTAATTTAAAATGTGCTACTTTGGGCCTCCCTGGTGATACAAGGGGTTAAGACACAACCTGTGAAGCTAACCGTAGCCATTGCAAGCACAAGTTCAAGCCCCGGCCAGGGAGCTACCCACATGGCATAGCAGACCTCTCCTGGCTCGCCTGCTGCTCCCCTCAGCAGTGTATTTCAGTCAATCTGCTCCCCACTCTGTCTCTGGTGAATCCTCTTACCCACCTTGCACCTTGGGCCTGCACCCCAGTTATTGTATGCATAAATAAATCTTTTTAAAAAAAAAGTGTGCTACTTTAAGAAAAGTTGGTAGGCTTTTCAGAATGTTCTAAGGCACTAAACTACATAAGATGTTAAAACTTCACTATGGAAGTGACAGAGTGGGTGATGTAGTGCCCATATTTTTCAGGTTGAAGGAATATTCTGATGAGTCACCTAGGTGGGTCAGGGAAGACCCCACTGGAGAAACACTTAAAGATTGTCACTGAACTAATTTCTAATGTTAATTTCAAGTTGTTAGATTTTTGTTTGACTCAAAACTGAATGAATGATACTGACAGATCATGAACTCACAATATCTAAATAAAAATTTGGCAAAATTAAGGAGGAATTTTCATATCTGTTTTATAGTAAGAAGTGTTAAGTAACTGCTATTAAAGTTGATGGATTCTACACACAAAAAGTCACTTGATTGAAAGATGAATAGAACATCCAAAAAGGTGTCCATTTATTTGTCAAAATATTGCATGTAATACTATGGTGTGTCAGTCAGGGTTTGAACAGAAAAACAGAACTAGTAGAGATACATGCAAAGATTAATTGCAAGGAATTGACTTACTTGATTGTCAGTGACTGCAATGGCAATTCCAAAATCCACAGAACAGGCCATCAGGAAAAGAAGACTAGAACTATCCAGTTAAGTTGCTTTCCACAAGTGTCTTCTTCAGGGAAGACTCAGCTCTGCTTTTATATCATTTCACCTGATTATATGTGGCCCATCCATATTATCTAGAATAATATCTCTACTTGAAATTAAATATGGACTTTAGTCACAATTACAAAATGCCTTCACAGCACAGCTATATTAGTGTTTGATTGAGTAACTTGGGACAAAGTTGACCATCAGAGAGGGCATTTCAATCAGTTGTTGGGGATACTATTGAAAAAATTATCCATCCTTATCAAGAAAAATGAAGTTATGTTTCTACTTAATGCAAGGGTATATTCTCGATGAACTGGAACTATTTCATTTAAAACCACTATGAAAGCCATGAGCTGCAATGAGTATTTATTTCTTTCCGTGGTTCTCTCCCTATTGGTTTCTTTATTTTTTTTAATTTTCTGGAAGAGCTCTATAATCCTGATTACAATTTTATTCAATAATCAACAGTGCCTATGAAATTTCATCTTATCCAAAATGAACACAAGCCTACTTGAGGTATGACAAAAGGTCCTGTATTCAAACGTGTCCATTCACTGCCTTGCTGATGTTGGATATTGTATTTTAACTTGATATTTCCTCTGTGTTAAGCACTACTTTAGTGGATCTTTCAAGAGTTGTTTTGTGAGTGTTCCTTTGTATGTGTGAGAAACTACTGTGGGATGTATGGGATAGGTGGATATCATAAAAATAACAATAATACAAAAATAGCAATAGCAATGACATCATTCTCGTTCTGTCTTCAAATATCTTTCAGTCTATTTTATAAAATTGGAAGCTTCCTAAGAACACAGCATTTTGTGTTATGGATACCATTGTGTGGATGAGTTTATCAAATTATGTTTCTAATAATACCATCTATTAAAGATAATTGCTCTTTGATATTAACAAATCCATTTTAGCCATCACTTAAAACATTATCTCCTTTCAGTGATAAGTTATGATTAATAGCCCCAATATTTGCCATTTTCCTATGCAGATATCTACAGTTACATAACCTTGTACATGATAGAAGCATCATTTCTCCAATTGTTTATTTTATTTTTTTTTAAAGATTTATTTATTCATACAAACACTGGGTATAGTCAGAAGCACGGGAGGGTGAGAGAATTTACCAGAGCCAGAGCAGGGAGCAGAGCAGGCAGAAGGACTGAAGTACACTGCTGAGGGGAGCAGCGGGCGGCAGGAGAGGTCTGTGTGCCATGCGGGACCCTCCTCCGGTGGCCTGGGAGCAACAGGGGATCGAACCAGTGCCACAGAAGCTGCGGGCAGCTTCACAACCCAGGACTCAACTGCTGTGCCACCGGGGAGGCCCTGTTTATTTTCTTAATGAATTTTCCTTGGCACCAAATATTTGTCCATTTCAGATTAATAGAAAAAAAGATATTTTTTACTCTTCCTGGGTTGTTCAGCTCAACTCCTTCAGGTTTTAAGAGCTTGTCCATTTAAGCTGCATTCTCAATAACTCAAAAAATTCATATAGTCTTTTGGCAAGTGTCATTTGCTTACAATAATGTGTAGTATTAATGAAGTACCTTGAGATTTAGCAAAAAGGGAAGATATTTACATAATAATTTGTGCATATTGCAATGGTAATCCATAGGGCTTCTCTGGTTTACCAGTATTCTAAAGTAAGCTCTATAGTCATAACTGTGCACAATATTATATGTCCTGGTTACCACAGAAGTATACCTTCTTCATGCCCTAGTGTTAAAACAATGCAAAAGAAAGTATGTTTTCTGTTGGCTTCAAGAGGCAAAGACCCTCATATTTGCTGCTGAAGTGCATTGACTTTGGATTCTTCTTTCTTGGTCCAAAGAAAGCATAATCACTGACCTTGAGTGAATGATGGAGACATAAATTTTTAGATTGACTGTTCTTGATTTATAGGCAAGCCTCTTCTGGACTGTGAGGAAAAATGATCCTTGCTATTTTTGATTATTTTCTTGTTCCTATTTTATATTCTGCATTTGCCATGAGGCTATTTTCAGGGCTGTATTTTTATAAATTGGAAAAATGCATGAGAATATATGAAATAATTTTAATTGTTACTGTACTATGTCTTCCCTTTTGGCCAAAGTAACAATAATTATCACATCAATGACAAGTGTAAAGCATCCCTACTATTCTTATTTTTTTTCTAAAACCTTTGAAACCCAGTTGGGAATATAAGTTATTAAGTAACTTTTTTTCCTTTGGAAAATTCTTTCACAGGACTGGAGAAAGGAAGTCAGTACAGTTTTCAAGTGTCAGCCATGACGGTCAACGGCACTGGACCACCTTCCAACTGGTACACAGCAGAGACCCCGGAGAATGATCTAGATGGTAAGATCTTTCCCCAGTACCATCACAGTGAATTTTACCTTCTTTATTATTGCAACTTCAAAGGGTCTCTTAAAAAACTTGATCCACTCAAAAATTAAGTGTATGTTTCCTCCTATATTTCCAGACACAAAAACAAAACAAACGAAACCCTGATTAAATGCCATAGGAATATAAAATTATGTATTTATGGTGACTCATAACAATTTCTTTCTAGGAAATTTGAAATTTTTTCTTTTATCTTAAGTAATTGACCTTTAACATTTTTTTTCATAGAAATTTCTCTGATTTCTATAGAATTACTTTATAGAAGAATGGAAGTACTTTATGTAGCTTCTCTTGCCCTTTCATGATGCTTCTGCAAGACAGAAATATGTTTAACGTGCTTGTGATATAGTCATTAATATTTGACATTTAATTTTTATATTGATATAAAGGACAGTCTTCCTTATTTGCTTAAATGACATTTGTCTTCAGACATCTGTGGATGAGATACTGAGATTAATATAAAGATCACATGTCAATAAATATAAGCAAAATCTTCAAAATTACCAGATGGAAAATAGTTCTTGATATAAAAACATTACAACTAAGTAAGAAAATAAATTCTGGAAAAATGGCTAATAAGAGTAAAAAAAAAAAAAGGATCTAAATAATAAAACAGAGATACACCCTGTAGAAGTAGAGTTACAAATAACAGAGGTAGATATTCATGAAACTAAGAGATACATAAAAAAGAAAACATTATGATCAGTAAACTTAAATTTAAGTGATCAAACTAGTATCAGAAAAAGCGTAGAGAGGAGTAAAATATGTATTAAAAGTGTGATGCCAGAAGATGATTGTCACTTAAAGTTAAAAATTTGGTATCCCTTCCCGCCTCCTTATTTTATTCTCGAACCATTTTGTCTTGCATCGCTGTTTCTCAAATCTTCCCTCCCTCTTCTTCCTGGAATCCCTTCTTGTTTCCCTCCTCTTCGATCTTCCCTTTCTTTTCTTCCTAAATAATTTATGGCCTCTTGTGATTTTATTATTGTCACACATTTGTCAGTAGAAAACTCATACATGCTTTTTCCATCATAATGATAATCACTGCCATGTGACAAAATATTAATTCTAAGAATACTGATAGAAAACTCACTATGCTTCAGGCGCTGTGCTTAACTCGGAGAGTATAAAAATAAGAAAGACATGATCCTTTCTTTGTGGAGCTAAGAGTATAATACAGGAAGACAAATGTTCTGCCATTTTATATTTCAAACCTGGCTGAATAGTGGTAATATTCTGTGGTTCAACATAGGATGAATGGAGAGAGAGATGGATGATATATACAGACAGACAGACAGACATAAGCAGAGATTTACAGAAGACATAAAGGAGGAATAGGAATTAGCTATGTGAAAGCATACATTAGAAACTGAATGAGGAGAAGAGAGGAGGCAAGGTAAATGCAGGTTTGAAGTCAAGATAGACCATGATGTTGTGAGAGACCTAAACATAAAGACCACCAAGGCTGAAAAGAAGCGATGGTATGTGGTGAGGCTTGTAAGATAGGCAGGTTCTAAATCTGGCAAGACCAAATAAGATTTTAAACTTTTTCCTTTTTCCTTTTTTTTTTTTTAAAGATTTATTTATTTATTTATACAAGCACTGGGTACAGTCAGAAGCGCGGGAGGGTGAGAGAATTCACCAGAGCCAGAGCAGGGAGCAGAACAGGCAGACTGATGAAGTACACTGCTGAGGGGAGCAGCGGGCGGCAGGAGAGGTCTGCGCGCCATGTGGGACCCCCGCCCAGGGGCCGGGGATTGAACCAGCACTGCAGAGGCTGCGGGCAGCTTCGCAACCCAGCGCTAAACCGCTGCGCCACTGGGGAGACCCTAAATTTTTTCTTAAGGACTGTAGTTAAAGTAATAACTGGCTTTATCCTAAGCAAGTTGTTTAAAGGATTTTTAAAATTAGTGACAGTTATATTTGCATTTGAAGAGATTGTTCTGATTTAAAGCAGAAAAAATTCTTAGATATAAAGATGGGCCAGTACAGTTGGTACAAGCCTGGAGGGAATACTGGACTTTACAGAACAGTAACTAGAAGCTTAGAAGATGTTATTTATCTTGCCTTGGGTTAAATAAATAAAGAAGTTGTAGATTTATACAAAGTTGTGCTTTGCAAAATGTACACCCTTCACTAATAGGTTAGGGAATATTAATTCATCTGTTCATTTGTTCAGCATGTGTTCTTGTAGGCTAGACATTATTTTAGGTACTAGAGGTAATGAATGAGGTCTCCTCAAGAAGCATGCATTTATTGAGATAGAAATGGACCATGATAAATGCTCTGAAGAAAAAAACATAGAAGGAAAGTGAATGACTAGGGAGCACTGCTTTAATTAGAGGACTGAGAAGATTCCACAGGCCTTGGAGAAATGAGGGAAGCAGGCCTGCGAATAGGTCATACAAAAGCCTGCCAATGTAAGCAATGGCAGTAACAGACATCTGAGCTTGAAACCCAGTTCTTGGTTCAAGTATGAAGGAGGCCAGTATCATTGGAGGTAAAGTCCTAAAGATGTGATCTCTCTTTAGAATGAAAGGATGGTTAGAATAAGCTATACAAATATTTTACCTTTTCTTTGACTTGAAAAATAACTTTTAACTTTTAAATTTGATGTACTCATGTTTGATCTCCACATCTGCCTTTATAGAGGATAGCTAAGTAGGCTTGCTTTTGAAGAACAATAACTTAAGAAAAGCAAATTTAACCAATTTAATAAAGTCAGTATTCTAGTAATCATGAGCTGAAACTCAAGTCCAGATTTAGTAAGTTAATATACAGTACAGGTTATAGGAACAAAGTCTCCCCCAGCCTCTAGAACTGAAACCAGTCACAGTAAAAGACAGTGAATCCAGGCCAAAGATTCTAAGAAATGAGGTCATATCATTTACCCAAACTTAAGGGGCTATATCTCTTACTGGAAAAGTGAAAATAAATGAAGCAGCGGAGCAGAAGGTCCTATAAAACACCCAAGATGAATGAGGCTCTCCATTTGACTTATGTACTCTTTCTCCTCACTCTGAGTCACAATCTAAGTGGAATCAAATGTTTAATCACAGCTCCTTGAATGGCACAAAGCTTCCATTTTTAATTGCATGCTTTCCATAGCCATGAGATAAAAAAATACTCAGATTCCTACATCTGTTTTCATCAAGAGTTTCTATGCTATGCTGTGCTATGAGCAGAGTCTTAGTAAGTGCTGCTTAATGGGATTTATTTGAATTGTTTTATGCTCTTGGCTCAATCATGTCCCTCCTCTATATATTTTTTTCTTATTCGAGTAGCGATACAGTTATTATGAAATACAATAGGCAACTATAGTGTGCTTGGTCATGGGAAGTAATGATGTGAAGAGATGGGAACGGCTCTGTTGATTGAGGAGGCAAAACAGAAAACGGTGCCTTGACCGAAAAGACTTCATGAAAACAAATAGTGCTTGAACCCAAAATCTCATGGAAAGTTGTTTGAAAACCAAGATGACAGGGCGGAGTGCATGGGACAGCATAATAGATATTCTTCAAAAAGAACACTTTTAGGAAAATTGTTTCTGCCACTCTCATTTCAAACGCCCCCTGACTCATTCAGGTGTTACTCCTGTACCATAAGTCAAGTATTTTAACACATTCAGATATTGCTGCTTTTCTGCTTCCCCATTTAGATTGTAATTGCTTAGACAATACTTGTCCTTCACCATAATGAGTGCATGAGCAACTTGAAAGAAAGGTAAACAAAAATTATATAAATAAAAGCTAGTGGAATTGATACTTTTACACACAATGCTGTTAGAGTTTGTAGTTTGGGATTGTTCACCTTTAATCATAATGGAAAGTAATAGCCATTTCAGGGCATTTAACTATATGAGCGGGATACAGATCGACTTCCCTTACTCTGAGAAGCGGTGCTTTACTTGCTGTCAGAAATTAATAGGACCAGGCATTTTTGCTTCCATGTTCTTCTCAGTTTATTGACCCGCTTTCACTTAGACACTCCCCTAAAGTGACTTCAGTTCCTCTTCCTTCCGTCTGTTTGTCTTCTCTTGACGGCATCCCTCAAGCATTAAAAAATGTAACCCTTGTAAGATTTAATATTTGGACAATTAGACAAGCTCATATGTGGCGATTAGTAACATCAAAAGAATATTTTGCCTGATGTGTGCAGAGTGTTCATATATTCATAGTGTGTGTGTGCGTGTGTATGTGTCTGTATTTAAGCTAAGGAGATTTGCTTTAAATATTCATCTCATTTTAACTTATTCATGTAAATGTTTAAATCATAAAATAAGATATAAATGACTTCTTCTGAAGCTTTCTTGGCTAATGTTGGAAAGCTTTGAGTCCTAAATACTCCAAAATCAGAATTTCCATACAGAATTGCTTTGATTTCCATTAAATTATGGATAAGGAGGAAGCAATCATTTTGAAAACAAAGTCAAATGGGAGGCATTCTTTGCTGTAGTCTAAGACATCTTTAATGAAAGGGAACTGAGGTGTTTGCCCACCCTAGGTGAACCCAGTACCTAACTTACCCCCTTGCCTTCAAGTCTTCTGTTGCACCTCAAGGGTGCAGGTCACTGCACAGAGGCTATGCAGACAGCTGAAAGCAACTTACTCTCCTGTGACTTTTGTAGCTTGCCTTGACTTCTCTGCTTGGCTTAAGCCCTGTGATGATCAACAGTAACTTGAAAGAATACTACAATTCCTTCTGGATTGCCCTTTTAATTAGGATGTTTTGTTCAAGTAATTATAGAGCCAAACCTCACTGTTTGCTCAGGGTTCCCTGAAAGCTTGTTTGCTATTACAAACAGCTGGGAAGTGTTAAAATATTTATTTTGCAACTCAAAATTTCAGCTTAAAAAAAAAAAAACCAAGATCATTAGAATTCCCTAAAGTTCTTATGTAAATGTCTTGCATAAAGATATGAGTGAATTTGTAATGAAGCTCAGCAAGGTATCCTCC